AAAACATGTCCTTTTCAAAACAGCAAATCAAAGAAATGACTTTCTATACATTTTTTTCTTAACAGGCTGCTCATTGATCAGCATGTATCATTGTCAGATTCACTAGTTTTCATGGGAGGAGGGAAGGCTTCACTACTTTTGCTGTGTATCCCATGGAGTACATCCAAGAGTGAAACATGCTTTGAAGCCAGCAGGCATTCTTTGCTGCAAATAATTCTGAAGGGATTTAGAAGCCAGATAAGGATTAAAGCTTGCGAGGAAGGGGAAAAAATTCCACTCAACCTTAACTATAAATGAAAGAAAACAGAGTGAGAAAGGAGAAGGGAAAGTCCTTAGACCCAACAGTTACTGAGCAGTAAATTTCTCTTGTTTAGAATGCATAGGGAAAGGAGATCCTAGGTACAGAGGCACTATCTATGCATGCAAGAAAGAACTGGTGAAAATCTTCATTTTGTTTGGCTTTGTTTATAGCACTGGGGATCAAACTGGGGGCTTTGTGCACACTAAGCAAATGCTACACCCCCCAGCCCATGAAAAACGTTTCTTAAAAACAAAACTGAACACCCTTGTGGAATTGGGGGCTTTGAAAAAATGTTTTAAAATCAAGTGTTTTTAATCCACATCAGCCTGGGTTCTTGCTCCAGCTGTCTCCTAAGCTACCCTCCAGCTTCCATTCTAATCCTCCTAGGGACCCTTGGAAAAGGTAGATTATGTTGTATTTTGCTCGACCACCTCCACTGATTTCCTGTCTTGTCCAGAGTGAAAGCCTAAGTCCTTGCCATGGTCTACATGGCTGCCTCAGATTTCCTGTCCTCTCCTACTTAATTTCCATCCATCCATCCACTACCAGCATCTAACACATTAGTGTTTCATTTACTTGTATAATTTTATGCATCTTCCAGCCCAAGAATGTAAGCTCCACAAAGCAACAATTTGGACCTGTTTGTTCATGCACATCCCTAAGCCTCAAGCTGCTTAATATTTGGCCACTGAACAGATGTCATTTCTGTCTTTATTTTGCCTGATAAACACCACCTTCACCTGAGGTATGGACACCTCACTATTCTACGATTTTTAATATAGGCAAGGAAACTGCTTTTCAAGTTCTTGTTTGGCTTTTCAGATACTGTTGGTGAAGCTGAGGACTATCACAGAAGTGGTCCCTAACTATCTGGAAAGACCTAGAACAGAATAAGAAGATGCTGTGGCCTCTTCTGTTCTTCTTATGTACTCTTCCATTCCTAACTTTCCAGACTCTGTGAGTATACAACTGAAGACCTACAAACTCTGTCCACCTTCTGCATTCTTTCCTACTTGTTCTTCCCTCTGGGTGATCACCTTCTGCCCTCACCCAATTCCAGACTGGGTCATGTCTCGTGTTTTTTCAGTGCAGTGGACTTGACTGATTCTGACCAGCTTGAGTATTTGGATGAGCAGGTACACCCACAAGTAGGCTGCAGGTTCTGGACACATTCACCCGCACCAATTTGCCTCATAGCCACCATTATGGTACAGACTGTGTGAAACAGTATTTCCAGTTACAGTCTACTTAAGTATAGGCATAGAGCTACTCCCTTCTGCATGCACTAACTACCCAGCTAAGGAATTTAAAATAGTGTATATGAGGCTAGCTTTCACTTAATAAAGTTTGCATTGGTGGAGTCACTGGAGATGGTCATTTTCATGTCATATTTAATATCCCTGAATGAATGACGAGCATCTATGAGCAACTCTTTATTCCTAAGCTATATTTGACGCTCCCTTTTATCTATATTATGGAAAAGCTGTGATTATAATATCACCATGTTTAAAAGCACATGGTGACAGAAAAGTAGGGAGGTCATCCAATACAGCTGCTAGCACAGAATAGATCTAAATCATTTAGTCTATTTTTTCAAGACTTCTAGAGTAGAGACACAATAATTCTCTCCATTTGTAGATTGTTTGAAGAACAGATGAGTACACCCGATAATCCAATTGCCAATTCATCTGAAATTACTTTAAGGATTTCCTTAGAGTACAACAGTGTTTCCTAGGTTTGCTCTGGAAAGTAAAATTAGGGAAAGTAAAGGGTGAAAAGAGGACAGAGGAAGGGTCAGAAAGTAAACAGCCAGACTGAAAGAAGTCAGAGGGAATCAAGAAGAAATGTAAAAAGAATTGAAGTTCTCTTTCCTTTTCATTTTTTGATTTCTAAAGGAATTGATCTGGGTCTTTCCCCCAGGCATTCATTACTTGAACACAAAGTACAAACAGACTCAGGAATGATAAAGAGATGCATGGTTAACACTGAAAAAACAAGGCCAGTTATCAAAAAATAAAACATGTTCACTCTTTTTTCTTTTTTTCGGTACCATGGATCGAACTTGGGACCTTGTGCTTGCGTGGCAGGCACCAGAACCACTGAGCTAAATGCCTAGCCCAAAGGATCTGGCAGTGTGTTCACTCTTAATATTTTTAATAGCAAGAAAAGCATGCAGTGGTCAAAATTCAATCTATACAGAGATACCTGAAAGGAAAAGGAAATATCTCCTGCCTTTCTTCCTGCCACATCTAGTCCTTTGCAGCCACTGTGTAACAGTCTTTGACTAACTGTCCAGAATGAAAAGTTAAATGCAACTCCTGCATAGATAAAGGTGTGAGGGTTGGAAGAATAAAATTTAACCTTTTATTCCAAAAGGAAAACATCATATCTCCTATATGGTTATTAACTTTTTAAACTTTAAATTATGTTTGGAGATCTTTCTCTGTGCCTCCAGTCATGCAAACGCCATAGCTAAGGGACTTTGACTTTCTAAGCACAGTATCTGCAGGGCCTAGAACAAGGATCCTGTATATACATTTTTTTCCACAAAAATTTTTAGATAAGCAAATGAATAAATCAACAAATAAAGATTAACTCTTTTTTTTTTTTTTGGTACTGGGGATCGAACTCAGGCCCTTGTGCTTGGGAGGGAGGCGGCAGCACCACTGAGCTACATCCCCAGCCCTAACTCATTCTTTTGATCCAAAGTATAATACCGCATTGTCTTGACATACCAGAACTATCTAGCTGGGTACTGATGAATATTTAGAATGTTTTTTTGGCTCTTATTTTAATAAACATTCCTGAATAATCTGTTAAATCTCCTACACACGTACATCTACACATGAATCCAAGGTAATTGCTTAGCAGTATAAAAGTTCAATCCATTTCTGACTTTGATAGGTATTATATTCCCAAATGACACCCCTAGCAGGTTGTATCAATTTATACCCTTTCCACAGCTTTTACTCTGGGGCAACTCAAAACCTAACCATTAGTGACAAAAACACATATTTCTATAATCTAAACAGTCTTTCAGCTACAGCTTTTTAATGGAAACTATATCAGATAAGATCTCAAAAAACTCAAAATCTTTTTGGCTTTGCTGAGCATTGAGGACATCCTTTTTTTTAAAGACAAAGTAGTTGTTCCTGCTGGTCAGCTTTTTGGAATGCAGCCAAAATTCACGGCTAACTGCTTCCTTTGTATATTTTAATAATAAAGTATAATTCTATTATGGCCTTTTGGTAAGAATTTTAATTACTGCACTTTTGTGAAATACAAATCATGATTTAAGAGCATGTGGACATCACTGAGAAAGTATGCATAAAGGATACAGGTAGCAGTTGTGTGCAAGTGCTGGAAACTTCATCACCCAGGCTCTCACAAGGATTCCACTGCCCATTGACATTAAAATAGAAAAGTAACCTATATGCAGAAAGAAGGTTGTATTCCCATTAACATTCATGAGGCTGGGCAGCTGAAGCCCTACACGCCAAGTAGGGAATATATCCTTTGTCTACTGATGAGAAAATGTCCCAGTGATAAATGGTTACAGACAGGCGTGTCACAAGGCCAACAGCACACAGAACAGTTCCGAAGAACTTCTTTTTTTAGTCTTCTGCAGCTCTTTTGTAGGATTGTGGAGCATGGTGCCTATCCCCTCAAATAAAAGACTAATCTTGTAATGCAGGATTCCTCATCTTCACGAGGCACTTCTCAGAAAGCCAAAGGCAGACCCTTTGAAAATAATTTAGAATAAAGTTTCGAAGGCTTCACGAGATACTCTGAAATGTTCTGCACTGGCATCCGGGCTATTTGTGCCTAAAATAGACATTGCAATAAGAGCATGGGCATACAAGGGCAATGCCTGTAATGCCAACAGACACATTCTTAAAATGCTTTCTATTCATTTACAAACATGCAAACATTTGATCGCACTTATTTAGCAAATTTGTGAGGAAAAATAATATATGAAGATGTTTCCTATTTCAGAAATATCACATAGACTCCTGCAATGACTACCAACGACTTTCTGTGAATTTTCAAATCAAAGTAAGTCCCGTTACGATTTGTTGACAACCTTGTCCCTTTGAGCCCGAGAAAGAGCTTCGGACACACACGTTCTCACTTCCGCGGCCTGGCTCTAGGTGGCAAACTTCCCTCACCTATGATCACCAAGACCGAACCCCACTCCGCAGTGTTCGCCCCGTCCCAGCGGTCGGCGCCTTCCCACAAGGGCAAAAGCATAGCACCTCCCTAAACCAGGCCTGTTGACGCTGTCCTTTCGGCTTTCGGAGCGTTCCTCCCCAGCCTAAAGAAAACTCTCAGGCAAAGCAAGAAGTGCACAACAGCTGCCCCAAAGATCCTCCGGACCGCCCTCCCTGCAGGGCATTTGTTAGGGACAGCCTCGGCCAAGGCTGCAGCCAGCAGGCCGCCCAGGGTCCCGGGGTTGGCGCCGGAACCTAAAGCCTCAAGGGGATGGAACCTAAAGCCTCATTGGCCCAGGGCCTCCCCTGGGGTTGAGGGCGGGACCGGGAGCGAGTGGGCGTGGTTGCGTTCAGGCCCCGCCCCCGGGACCAGACGGCCACCAGGCGCCTGCGCCCCAGGCTGGGGCTGTGGTGGGCCTCCTCAATCCGGGCTCACCCTGGCGCCCCGCCCCCGCCCTCCTCCCCCTTCCCGCCCACCACCGCCCACTTGACGCGATGACGCAAGGGAGGTTTGCGGACGTGGCGCACTGTCCGGAGGGCGGAGACGTAGGCGGCGGCCAGCCCGGACTACCGCGAGCTGAGCCTAGGTCATGAGCTTGCTGGGGTCTGCGGCGATGGCGGCGGGCCCGGTATCTGTGTCCTCGCTGCGTGTCCCCTGCTAACGGCCAGGTGAGGATGGCGGCCCAAGGTGCGGTGCGCGGGTCCGGGCGGGCGGGGTTGGAGCAGCTGAGGGTTTCCTCGAGGTGCAGCCGGGCGGCGGCGGGGCTCGGGCCGGTTCCGTGACACGGACCCCCCGGAGGAGAATGGCAGGACCTTTAGTGCTGGCCTGAGCTACTTGTCGCACTGGGTGGGAGGAAACAGACTCAGAGGAGCGACGCCCTCCTACCTGCGGGATTCCCGGGACACCGCATTTCCGCTCCAACTTTGTACTGCGTCTGGTCCACCGTCCGAGTGCGACGCTGGGATAGAAAAATCAGAGATGTAATTGTGGCTGGAGAAAGCAGGGAAAGAAAGAAGAAAGAACTAGGAGCGAGGAATGGAGAGGGATGCTTTTGAAAACAAAATTGGACCTGGCGGATCCGTGGTTCTGTCCAGGTGCCGACCCCGTTGGGCTCTGCTGTTCTTTGCTTCCTCGCCCCCTGAGCGGGGAAGATCAAAGGCAGACAGACACCCAGCAGCAGCCACCGCATATATGGTACTAAGGTTGTCTGGAAAACCGTTGCCAGGTACAGACCCAGCCTACGAGAGCTGTACCACTGCATCCGCCGATGGTGACTTTTTCTGGCCACTTGTGATCCGTTTAGCAAGCAGGCTTCTCCCAGATCTGTGAGGAGACTTTTGTCCCTTTTTCCAGTCCTTAGAATCAGAGAGGTAAAGAGGACTGAGCCAGATGCCTTGAATACTACTTTGTACTTTCTAATCCCAGAGTAGCTGCTCAGGTAATTACCTGCCTGGGCCAAAGTCTACCTGTTCACTTTGATTATAGACAACCAATTCTTGATTATTCAGATAGGAGTAGCCAGTTTGTGGTAATCTGCTACCTGCATTCATTGAGAAGGAGAGTAGACAGAGTGAAACAGGTGAGGTTTTAAATATTAGCAACATATCATGGAGAGAGACATTAAAATCAATGTCTGAATGCCTACAGGGCATTGCTCAGTGAATTTCAATTAACTGTGCTAAGCTAGTTTTGAGGTTCTAAGAATAAATTATCAGAAAAAGTCTAAAGGAACAGCATAACTAGGTCAGTGTAGCGATGTATGAATTTCTGTATAATGAATGTCAATTTTTTTCAGCATGGATGCCTTTTGAAAGTATGAAACATATTCTCCCTAGAAAAATGTACATGTACATGTATAAAATTTGCCTGTCATCTACAAAGCACCCTAGATCAGTGGCAGCAAACCATTTAGAGCTTTCAGGGGTACAGACAGCCCACTGCAGCACTTGTGCAAAGGTTGACGACCACTGGGCTAGATTAAAGGCGTTCATGGGGTAAAAATGATTTGGTCAAGTAAGTGGAAATAAAACTTATCCTTGAAGTAATAGCTGTAATCATGAATGGCTTTTGAGATGTGACATATGGATAGCTTTCTTGATCAGTGACTCAAGTTAGTATAGTAACTGTACTTCTTGGTAATAAATAATGTAGAACCTCTGGGAACAGTTGAAATAATCTAGTTAATACATAGCTATTAGTTACTGTATTAATAGAATCCCTTGAATTTTTAAAGTATTACAGTGCTGCAGAAGAGGAGGGTTAGAAAGTGGCTTTTAAGGAATTTGATTCAATTATATGAAATAGGTTGAAAACATAAGTGTGTGCCTACATAGAGAAAATAATTTGTTTTTGTCAAGTTAACAAATTCAGACTTTTGAGTTTTTTTCTGATTTGTTTTTTCTTTCCTTTTTCACATGGTACTCATCCCTACAATTCAAGACAGAGCTGAGTCCTCCTGTGGGGCATCATTTTGCTTCCTTGGCTTCCATAACACCTGTATGGTTTCTCCCTCCTCTGAACACACTTTCCATCCTTGCAGGCAGGTTTTAGTATCTTCACCAAGTTTTCAAGTTTTGAAATTCTTTAAATCTTGATCTTGGACGCTCTTTTCTTACTTCCTATCAAGATTTAGTGAGAGGTGTTTGCCTAGTGACTAGATAATCTCATCTGTACTTGGCTACAGTTTCACCTTTGTGCAGATTAGTCATGACACTGTTTTTAACCCAGACCTTTCCCCTGGACGTCACTGTATAGCTCCCCTGTCTAATGGACAGTGCTTTCTGCCAGCTTAGGGCAATTCATTATCATTGCCACGCCCCCTCCCAGCTTCTGTGTTTTGGCGAATAGCACCACCTTTTACTCCGTTATGCAAATCAGAAATCTTGCCAGGATCTTTAACTTCTCTTTCTATATCTGAGCTATATTAAAGTTCCAATTATTTATCACCAAAATGCCTCTTACGAACACTTTGTTTTTTACCACAGTAACCAAGCTGTCATCTTTACTTGAGTGCATTGTTAGGTTTTTAGGTTCTTGCATTTTTTTTTTTTTTTTCTGGTTCCGGGGATTGAACTCATTGGATTTGTTTTTAATGAAAATAGATCAACTTGGTGAAGGTGTTGAGGGTGAATATGCAAGTAAACAAGAAGTATTCATCGATACCTGTTTTAAAATTAGGCCATCTCTCACTCTGCCTTACTGTGTTTTTACTAAATATTAATGAACAGTCACCAAAAATCTGTTCACAATCTTTTTGGACCATAAAGTAAATCTGATGAAGAGCCTTAATTGGGATGAAAAGTTTCCAGAAGATGAAAAATTCTTGGCCAAGAGCAAACTCGTGGCCTATATAGAAGTCACACACTACGCTAAATAGAAATTGTGACCAAGAGGTAAACGGTGCAGTGACGCTTCAGTCCCAGGCGAGCCTATTCTGCAGAACAGGCAGGGACATTTCCTGAACATACTGTGTACGTGTATGAACATACTCTGAATCTGTCAGAACTACTAGTTATAAATATGAGCACAAGATTTTAGCACATCCAGAACATCATTTCCCTTCTTTACTTCACATTCTCTGAGTAAGAGGAGCTTAATTTTTAACCTAATACTACATAGCACTGTGCCTGCTGCAGATGGGATTACCCCACATGTGTCATGAAGTTGTGTGTTAGGGCACCTCTTCCTCCTGTGCCATGGTCTCCCCTGCTAAATGTTGGTTGCACTTCAGTGTTTTGAAACCTAAGTTTTTATATAACTTAAATCACTATTTAAATAATGTACGATGCCTCTAAATCAGTCAAATGAATCAGCCACAAGCCAAAGTGGTTTTTTTTTCCTTCAGATTTGAACATCATGGCAGGGAGGCATCAGAATCACAGTTTTCCTCTCCCTGGAGTGCAGTCCAGTGGTCAAGTACATGCTTTTGGAAATTGTACAGACAGTGATATTTTGGAGGAGGATGCGGAAGTGTATGAGCTTCGATCCAGAGGAAAAGAGAGAGTCCGAAGAAGTACATCAAGAGATAGACTTGATGACATTATTTTATTAACGAAAGACATACAGGAAGGAGACACTTTAAATGCAGTAGCCCTTCAGTACTGTTGCACGGTAAGTTTTAATTTAGTTTTACATAATGTAGTCCTGAATAAATCATTTCTTGCCCAACCCAAATTGAAATAAATTCCATGTGGTTTTTATCTTGTTTGTTCCTTTTTTCTCCTTTTTTTGCTTTTTTTTTCCTCTCTACATAGAAGTCTGTGTGATGTCAATGGACGTTAATTTTTTGAAATTTTAAGTAAATACTCTAATTTGTTTATCTCTAAATCCATTATCTTATCAGCAGTAGTGAAAAATACCCAAATATTTTATTCACGGTAAGGGAATGTAAAAATATATAAGGAAAAGTGTTTCTCTGCCCCAGTTCCTTAGATAACCAATGCTATTACTTTGGTGCATTTCTTTCTGTAGCTTTGTTTATGCCTGTAAATATTTACATATACTTGTATATTTGGAGTGTGGTTATTTTTGATTTTAAAATTGATATATAGTATAGTATGCATATTATTCTGCATCATGTACTTTTCATTTCTTAGTATATCATGGACAGCTGTCATAATCATCCCTCAAAACCTTATAGATTCTAACTTTTCTAAATAGCCATATAATAATATATGGACCTACCACATTTATTAAGCTGTTCCTCTATTCATGAATAGCCAGGATTTTCTTCGTGTTTTACATTGTGCAGTGACTATCATTACAACCATATCTGAAGTGTTGGTACCTATTTTCTTTTGGATAGAGTACCAGAAGGGGAATTACTAAGTAAAAAGGAAAGGTATTTTTTTGGAAAAATTAATTGATATCGAACTGTGTTTGAATTCATTTCACTTGTGTCATGTCCATCTTGGGTCCGTAGTAGGATATGTTGTAATATAAACACACTGACATTTAGGCGGATTTAAAACATCAGTTTTCTGACTTACTGTTCTCATACTTTCAAATTAGTAGAACTTAAAATGTATCTACTATTTACCTCCTTGAGTATTTTTAGGTGAACTTCTTAAATTCTATCTAATGACTCAAAATAGTTACAAAGGATATATTTTCCAGAATGTTGTCAGTATTGACATTGAAAAATAAGACTATTAGAATACTCCTTTAATGTGTCCATGGAATTCTAAGTACTGTCAGACGTATTACCTGAAATCTTCATTTAAAATGTGTGTGCGTGTGTGTGTATACAAATATATATGTGTGTGTGTGTGTGTATATAAGAACTTTGTTTTAGCATGAAATTCTGTATTATTCCTTTTCCTTATTTTTATCCTCCCACAGGATCTTTTATTATATAAAATATTTTTGTACTTGAAAACCTTTTATTGATTGCTTACCATCCTACTATACAATAGGAACATAGCATTTCTAATTTCATATTATATGTTTGAGTTTGTATCAATATAAATTGAATTTAAAAAAAACTTCCTATGGCCATAAGATTCTATGTATTTTTTTCTGGGTAATTATTGCAGTTATTCACAGTTTATCAAAACAAATACATTACAGATTTTGATTTAAAAATTAATAAAATATTTTATTGAAATGCATTTAGTGACGAGATAAGATGAGCGGGGTAATCGTTCTTGTTCCAAAATGTGCTTATGTATGGCAACACCATTCCTGTTGTTACTGAATTAGAAAATATCTCATTTCAGTTTTTAGTGCAAATACACGTATGAAGATGTATTTTTAAAATTGCGAGGTCACTGAGAAATAAATGGCTGAGTGTGTCTTAGGTCAGAGGGGCAGTGCCAAAACAAGGCAGACACCCACGAGGGCGGCCCAGTAGCTGTCTTAGCTTGCCTTTAATACACCTGGCAGATACTCTTTGGAAGGAAATTAGAAGGCGCTGTTCAGTGGTTAAAAATAAGTTGTAAGTCCAGTGAAGTAGAACAAGTGTTTCAGGCGTGGGACAGTTGTGTAGAGATTTCAAGGAAGAAAATGGCAAACAGTGGGAGGAGTTTAATAGAGTTTCAGGAATGGGTGGCGCAGACTGACTGAGATGAGGCACTTTGAGGCAACAAAAGCCAAGTCTGTTCCATGTGACAGGAGCGGTGAAGAACTCATCGTGAGGTTTAACGTGAGGGAAACAAAATCGCAGAGGACCTTGCTTATCTGAGGGAGGGATCCAATAAAGAGATCGCTGGAATAATTCAGATGAAGATGACAAGGACTACACTAAAATATATGCAACAAAGTAGAAGCTGATAGAACATATATTGGGGGAAAATCACAAATAAGTTAGCTGATTCATCATTTGAAAGGAAGAATGATGACAGCTGGTTAGCTTAGCGAAGAGAAGGGGATTGGGCTTAGTTGGTGGGAAAGTTGATACAGCAGAAGTAGGGGATTAAGACACACAGGCTCCCTTTTGATGGGAGCTCAATTAGCAATGGATGATTAACCATACAAAAGGATTTGTCATTTAAAAAAATACAGTAAGGGTTAGTGCTGTACTCCAGCTGTAGTCTTAAGAATTATTAAAAATATGCCCTTTGTGAGACAGTGGTGAAGGGAATAAAAATGCAGGATTGGAATCCCAAGTGTAACCAGGGAAGTTAGCAAACAAAACATTTAGAGAGATAACCTAGGTAGGGGCTAATCCTTGGAAGCCTGGTTCAGGGAGTGTTGCGAAGTTACTAGTAAGAGAATACAGTACCAATCCAAAGAGCATATAAAGAGAATGAGTTTAAGCTTTGAGGTTTGTCAGTGAATCTTCATTTACTTTAAAACAAAAGGGTTCCAAAGTAAGATGACCAACAGCCTTTATACTGGTTCATCTCCTAGATGATACTCAGTCCTCTCCATCTGCTCTTCCACATGTGACACTGGGAGAGAGTTTTCCAGTACGACTTATTCTGGTCTTCACTCATCACTACTCTACAGTTGATTTCTCTTCACTACTTCCTCCTAAAAACTCTCTTTGCTTAATCTCCTGTGCTCTGCCCATTTCTGATTTTCCTACTAAATATGCACTAACAGCTAACGTTTATATGGCGTACTTAGATCACTGTTCTAATGTACTCTGCAAACATTTTAATTCATTAATATTCACCCTGCCTGGATAAGCTAGGTAATATTGTTACTGACATCTTGCAGCCGTGGAACCTGAACGGCAGAGAGGTTAAACAACTTGCCCCGAGCCACACACCTAGAAAGTATGAGTCATGCTTCCAATCTTGTCCTACTCCTTTCAGCCAGTGTGGTATAATACTGCTTTCCTGGCCTCTCTTTTTAAATCTCCTTTGTGGATTTTTCATACTGAATATGTCCCTTAAGTGTGGGCATCCCTTGGGGATCTAGTCCGTCACCTTCTGCCAGACTTTCTAGTGACCCTGATTCTCAGGTCATTCTCACGTCTGAAGTGGGTGCCATAGACTGAGATGAAGCACTTGGAGACAGCGGGAGGACAGTCGGACCGTATCATAGGAGAACCTACCTCGTAAGGTTTTAACATGAGCAAAGCAAAATGAGGGAGGACCTTGCCTGTGAACTGCAAGATCTGACATCTGCTTATGTATCTCCAGCCCCTCACTGGCATTATGACTGAAATCTTTGTTCATCCTCTCCTGAGCCAGCAGTCTCCCTTCTCTCGGACAATAACAGCAGCATCCCACAGAGCTGACCAAACTAACCAGAAATCTAAGTTTCATCCTAGACTCACTCACTTTACCTCTCTGACAGTTAGATAGAGCTGATTCAACCACTGGTGGAAAAGACAAATGGGACCAGGGACTTACGGGTGGTGAGAGAACCGGACGTGTACTTGCTACTTTGAGAAATGCTGTGCCTTAGCGCAGAGACAGAGCATACAGACAGGTGGAGACGCAAATGTATGTGGGCGATTGCCAAGATGGTTGGATAATATATTCACACTGAGGGCTTCAGGAGAAAACATCGGCTTCAGAGGACAAAGTAAAGGGAAGAAATCACTGTATTTTATTCTAACATGCATTTTTTTCACACATTTTAACATCTTTGAAGTTAGGACGTTGGCATCTTCATTATATTTGGTGGGGTTTTCCCCCTTAAATAAAATAATAATACATCTTAGAGTTGATGGCATCTTAGTTGGATAAAATACGGACTTTTAATGGTAATATTTGCCTATAGGCCAGTTGGAATAAAGACCACAAGCACAGTAACTGTAAGCCTTCCTTCACGCGTTGCTCCCATGCGCAGCTGAACTGTGGTGTTTTTGTGTGAGGTATGGAGGGAAGCAGCACAGTAGAATATACCTAACAGTGAGCGTTAGTGTGTTACTATACCATAGAGGCAACTATAAAAAGGAGTTGGTGATTCCTGAGGCTTGTAAATCAAAATTCAAATCTCTTATGGTAACTTAATACTAGTAACTAAGCTCAGTTTTTCCCCCAAAAGTAAGTGGGATGAATGATGATTGTTACCTCTAGTTTGAATTAGAATACAGTTAAGTATTGCATTTTTCTTTCCTACAGGTAGCAGATATCAAGAGAGTTAACAATCTCATCAGCGATCAAGACTTTTTTGCCCTTAGAGCTATCAAAATTCCAGTTAAAAAGTTTAGTTCATTGACTGAATCACTATATGCTCCAAAAGGAAGACAGGCTTCACGTCCTTCAGCTGTTCAGTACGCTCCAGAACAACAGGAAATCCTGCCAGCAAATGACTGTCTTTCTTCCAATGAGTCGGCTGGTAGCTTTTTAAAAGAAGTTGATCGAGACATAGAACAAATAGTGAAGTGTACAGACACCAAGAAGGAGAACCTTAATGAGGTAGTGTCTGCCTTAACTTCACAACAGATCCGTTTTGAGCCTGATAACAAAAACACAAAACTTAAGGATCCCTATTACGGAGCAGATTGGGGAATAGGGTGGTGGACAGCTGTAGTGATAATGTTGATAGTAGGTATAATAACACCAGTATTTTACTTGCTGTACTATGAAATTTTAGCTAAAGTGGACGTTAGTCACCATTCAACAGTGGACTCTTCACATTTGCATTCAGAAATCACACCATCATCCCAGTACAGGGAAATGGAAAATGGCATTGCTCCCACCAGAGGAATCCATGTTGGCCAACAAGATGGCCACAGACTGTACGGTGAAGATCCTCAGCCAGCTGCTGCTCGACACAAAACATAGCAATTAGCTCCTCAGTGCGTTGCATCTGGAATGTGGTGAATCACTCACACTCGGTAACCACTGCAAAGACAATATAGGGTGACTGAAGATGCTGTTTTTGTTTTTACCTTTTGAAAACTTTGAGCAATTACAAGTAGATTATATATAAAATCCCTACAGTTGATGGTTGTTCAAGTTAAGAGCACTCAGTCCTTAAGTCTGTTGTTTCAGTGCTTAAAGAAGAAAATGAATTTAAATGTGTTTAGGAAGCCTTTGGAAGATGAGTTATTTTTCTTACTCAAAGATTATGTTTAAATTTGATATTTTAAGTAATTATTTTTTATTTAAGGTTATTCATGTTACATTTCAGAAGCAGAATAATGATAACGTCAGATGTCTACAACTGAAGAAAATTTATTACTGTGAACCACCAGATTAGTTGCAAAAAAAAGTTTGATCCTAAAATTGATAGCAAGTACTTAACATTCCTTTTTGAAACTTTTATTAAAAAACATGTAGCACCTATGCTAGGAAACAGACATGTTTAATTCTGAAAGAGGCTAAGAAATGATTAAAATATTTTTAAGACCACCAAAATAATGTGGTACAATTGAAAATTTGGCACTTGATCACTGGAACACTGGAATAGGTTAAAGCTAAAAATATTTCTTGTCTTAATGCTTTTAGATCCTTTAACCTCACGTCTGCCTGTTTTTAATATTTTAAAGCACTTTGTAGTTCATCGTTGAAGTGTTATAGTACAGATTAGCATTATTTAGAAATAACTCCACATACTGTGATGTCATTGCTGTTACGAATAGTAACAAGCCTTAATTACATTTAATGCCTTATAATATGCTTTATGTAAGTTAATGTATATTCTAGAATTGAAGTAGAATTTCAGATGTCCAGTTGGATTTATTACATAGGCTATGTAAATTCCACTGTACCTTCACATTCAAGCACAAGTAATGGGTTCAGTACAAGTCTTTTTTTTCTTTTTTTTCTTCGGTACTGGGGATCAAACTCGGGTCCTTGCACTTGTGAGACAGGTGGCGGAACCACTGAGCTAAATCCCCAGCCCTAGTACAAGTCTTTATTGTTTGCCTGTGAGGTCTGCTGCAGAAAATGGTTCATGAAGCAAAAACAAAGCATTAGGAGGCATTTTCTATTAATAACAAAAATGGCTTCACTTGTGGATCCCTTACCCTGCATTTTTCAGAGAGAAAATGTCCAGGTCAGACAGCTGGTGTCCAGATGATGGCAGGTTGGGGAACATGGCCCAGAGGTGAATGGTTGGGTGAGAGGGCTTGATAGTGCCACCTTCTAAGGTCTGCCACGCCACAGCTGCCGCCTGGCTAATAAGCATTTGCCTATCAATTTCCATCCTTCACCTTTTAAAAAGGTATTTGTTTATAAAATGTAACTAAAATGATTCAATAGAAGCGAGATTTGGTGGAATCCGGATTGGCTGTTTTGTGTAAAATAGTCACCGTCAGATACATAATACCAACACATTTTCCGGGCATTGCTTCCCAATCTTTAACGTTTCAGCTTTTTGATGAGACAAGTCAAACATTCTAAAGCCTTGCATATATCAGAGGACTTAGGGAAGTTGCAGTGAATTGATTTAGGAAGTCTTTTAGCTAAATAATTTTAAGTTATTTTAGTGTGCCCTGAGCATCTTGGAAAGAGGATTATTTTTTTTTTTTGGTACTGGGGATCGAACTCGGGTCCTTGCGCTTGCACAGCAGGCGGTGAAACCACTGAGCTAAATCCCCGGCCCAGGAGGAGTGATTTTTAAATTTATGTTCAGTGTTAACTTGAGCAGTTTACATTGTTTATTTTTGTTTTTATTTTGGTACCAGGGGATTGGACTCTGGACCTTCCGCTAGTGAGGCAGGTGGGCACCACTGAGCTAAATCCCCAGCCCTTCCATTGTCTTTAAGCCTGCTGCAAAACCCAGCTTGGAGCAGAAAATGCAGACTATTTCAAGACAGAACAGGCTGATGTCCTTTGAATGCTCTGTAAACATCGAATTGGTGAAATTAGTCACTGATTCGTTTGTTTTACATTGAAATTGTGACAGAGGGGTCCGGTTCAGGATTCAAGTAAGGGTATGCGTACTCATTAAAACTTTTCTGTCTTGCAGAGTATCCTTTTTGAAGGAAATACAACATATATTCTGATGAAACACGATTTATTTTTTTCTGTATATTTCAATTATATACATTTTAATAATATAATTAGAATTATATATAATTCTATATACAGGTTATATGGAATTAGTTTAATCTTTGTTTTAAAAATATTTAATAGAATCCAGAATTTTATCTTTTTAAAAATACCAATATACATTAAATTTGTAGCAAATGCAAATTGTATAACTAGACAACAAGCAGAAGTACTGTTTAATAATTGGGAATTTGGTGTTAAAAGGCTTATTTGAATTCATTTTGAGGCTTTTTACCTTTGTGTTTGTCTGCAAATTTAAAGTGATGGAACTGTGAATCATAGCACTGTGGTTCACTTAGAAATTTGGAGTAGCAAGTGAAAAATCTGATAGTTTTAGGACATTTTTAAAAATGTCTGGGTGACATAGTTAAGTTTTGAACTGTGAAGGTTGGCCATTTAAATGAAATATTTTGGCTGTCCACTTCTAACATCTGCTGGTCACATTAAGAATTAGAAGTGTAAAGTCATATCCAACTGTCTTCTCCAGAGGACTTTGTGACCTTTACAGCTTTTTCCGGGACTCTACCTATTCATTGGCCTTAAAAGTCGTTTTCAGTGAACCACTATGTAATAATTGATTCTTCCTTCAAGGTCTACTTCTAGTTGGAAATATGAAGAATACAGTTAGAAACATGAAGCAAAGATCCAGTCAGAGTGTTACAGGGCTAAGTTGAGGGTATTTTTTAGTTTTTGTTCTGTGGTGCTGAGAATTGAGCCCAGGGCCTCCTGTATGGTAGGCAAGTGCTCTATCCTGGATGTGTGTCCCCAGCCCAAGGTGGAATTCTTAAGCCTATGCCTAAATATGGTGCATTATGACAGAAATCATTCTTATTTTGAATTACAACAATGTTGCTCAGGAAATCAGTATTTTTCTTCTCAGTATGTGCATATTGCACTGTTAGATCATGGAAATATTTGAATGCTTTATTTCATTTTATGTATGCAAACTCTGTAAATCTTGTATAATGTATTTTGTACAATTGGAAAATGTAATAGTAGACTATTGTTAGCATGTACAACTGTAAAACTTTTGAAACTTTATGCCCTTTATTCATATTTTTAAAAGATCTGAAAATGTAATAAAGTTTCTATTTTATTATTCAGTCTAAAGTGAAAAGCTGGTGAATTTAACTGGGTAAAGCCTACTTTCCCCCTTCTACTTTCTAATTGTTTGATACAGAGATACAAGGTAGAGCAAGTTGCCGGAGGTCTCCAAGTTCAGATTCCAGTTTGTTCCACTGGATTACTGGTAGGACGTAAGTGAAACGAAAGCTCTAGGGTTTTAGTTTAAGGGAGTAAATTGTGTTTTTTTCCATGTGTTTTTCCATTTTCGAAAGCATCCTAAAGTATTTAGGTTTGTTTTTTTTACTAAGTTTTTGCTAGCTGCAGACTTTACCATCTTAAACCAAAGCCACTGACACTGTACACACAGAAATGCACACCTGGGAGGGGAGGAACGTTAACAAGAATCTCGGAATGGCTTACCATTCTGTGACAGTCCAGGGAGTCAGTGGTTATGCTAATATTATACTGCCTGCAAATCACTGTCCTCACAACTTTTTCCTAATCCCATCCTAGAGTTTTCTTTTGTTGTTCATGGCGGTGGTTTCTTCAGCAGTGCATGATGCAGGCATCTCTGCTCCATAAATATGTATTTCACTAAATAAAATGTTATTATCAAACTCGCTTTCTATATCAAACGAAGTTAAAAGCAAAACATCTTAGGGGCGAGAATTTAGCTCAGTGGCACTGCACCTGCCTTGCAAGTGCAAGATCCTGAGTTCAATCCCTGCTACCAAAAAAAGCAAAACATCTTAATAGTAAATAAAATGACACAATTTTACTTTGAAAGAATTTAATGTGTAAACAAATACAAAAGAAAAAGCATTATAGTGACCAGTTTGGTTATAACAATTTTAAAGATGCTTCACCAGTAAGTAGTTTTCTACATATATAAAGAAGCTATTGCTGCAAAATATTGTTTACCTTCCTATGGAGTAACTTCACAGTCTCAGATCTTAAACCAGAAAAATAAGGTTTATCCTGGTAAAACAACTTGCAGATTCTGTCCTCATCCTTTAAAATTATAAAAAGATCTTCCAAAGGGGGAAGAATATACCTAGCAGGGCCTCCTAGGGCAAACCCATGCCCAGAGGGACTGCCCTACCACCTGCAGGACTAGCCCAGTGAGGATGGGCTGAAATCTAGGAAAAGTGACCTACCTTCAGTGCATCTGCCTGAGTCAAGAGGTTATCAGCAGACTTGTAAGAAAGCAAGAAAACAGTGTAGAGATAAGATTCCTATGAACTAAACAGTAGTATTTGGCTGTGATACCAAAGGAGTGGAAGAGTAAAACAACTATGTTGATTATCATTCCCAAATGACAGCTCTGCCACTACTACAGAAAACTTCATGTGAGGTTTCCATTCTTAGGAGATTGCAGCTTGAAGACTTTCAAATTAGAATCTTAAAGTGTGATAAGCCCCTTTAAACATTAAGTTATATATAATGAATATAGCACTGAACTAATAAGATGGGCTTCTAACCCATCTTGGATTATTCGTGGAAGTGTTGCCATTGAAAGATCTTTTTCCTGAAACAGTCATTGTGCAAAGTCACACAAGACAACACAAAATTTCTCCAGTTTTCCCTACAAATAACAATTAGGAAAATCTGATTACAATAATATATTTTATGAGGAAAACATGTTTCTTAAAACTGTGTTTTCAGTTACAGCTATGGCTGATTAGAAGGTAAGAATCAAATTTAAGACCTGATTATTTTTATAAGCAAAGAGAATGTATACATAAGTTAAAATTCTGGTTAGTGTGTAAAAAACTTTTATGGGAAACTCTTTAGAAGTGGAGAAACTAAGGCACAGAAACTTAACCATGTTCAGGTTCAAGGCTGAATTTAATATTCTAGATAGAAATAGAATTTAGGGCTCTGGTGCTCAGGCAAATGGGTGATAGCTTCCCAAAGAGAAAAATATATTTATTTTGGTGTGTGATACTACTAAGTTGTTTTTGAAATATATAATATGAATTTTTTTGAAAATATTTGGCATTTTTAGTTCTGTGGAGGCTGAGGTTTCTAGGTATTTTCTCCCCAAAATATAAAATCAAAGGGGAGCTAGCTTTTAAATTAAAATAGGATTAATCTTAATTCCAAAATGACCTGAGTTCATTCTGCATTATTATATAAGCAGCAGTACAGAGGCTTCCCCCCCAGCTCACACTTAGGTGCTTCTGTGAAGCTGATATAAGTGGAACCTACTCCACACTGACATAAAGTACAAAATTAAACAGGATGTCTCAGTCTAACTTTTCATAAACTCAACTATTTGAAGATGTCAAACTTATTACAGTGAGATCACATATAGTGGTATGGACTGAAGTAGCCCAAAATCCAAGTATTCTATTCATCCAACATGAAAACCTCTTCATACTGAGGAGTGGACTGTGAACTTACAGATCGTATGGACATCTTTCCCCATGTGTATGTTTTAATCACAAAACTTTAAGTTTGCATCTGTGAGAGCTCAGGTAAGTATCTGTAGTCATAATGTAGTGGTACAGTGCATTCCACGTAAGGGTAAAAAACAATTCTCAAGTTTGTTTTTAAAGTGCTCCATGTGCTGTATTGTCAACTTTTACATTATAGGAAGCCATTAGGACTCATAATAATCTTTAGAAAAGATCAGCAGTTAAAGAAAAATGATTTGTTCAAGTATGGATACATAGATTAAGAGATGCAAAAGCTCTTTAGGCACATTCACATCCAATGTTTTCAAAAATCCACGAGCAGACATAAGAGGGATGGCAGAGGTATTTAAGAGGAATGTCAGAGTTTCAGAGATTACTTTACAAGGTACTAGTGTGTAAACTCAGAGCAGTTTACATATTTTGGTAACAAGTATTTGTTCAGCAAAACAGGGACAAAAAATAAACTAGGTACTCATTCCTTATCAGAAACGAAACAAATCAAGTTTGTCCAAATACTCAGAAGGTGAATTATAAACATTTTTAAAAGAAATTTCATGGCTAATAGGTGGCTTCATCCATGTTGTCATCACTGTCAGCACCAAAATCATCCTCGTCTTCAAAGTATAAATTAATGTAGTCATTTTCCTAAGAGAAATGATACATTCCTTAGTACAATTAAAATGAATTAATAGCATTATTATTAAATAATACAGTGTAAGCTATCCCTTTAAGTTTATACCAAATTTAATAATACAGCAGATTAAAAGTTTATGTATTTAAGAAAAAATATGAGTTTTCACCCATGTCTACTTGTGCTGCTTTCTTCAAGATGGTACCTCTTACCATTCTAAGGTATCAACCAGATTCGAGAACAGGAAGGGCTGCTCCTTCACCTTGGCGGGATGATAAACGACTGCAGCACTCCTCAGTGGGGTGACACATGGGCTACTTAACTGAACTAATAAAAAGTACTTCACCAAATACATGGACACGCAAGAAACAAAGCCAGTCTACACTGACGTTCATTGCACTGCACTAGAACTGAGGCTCAGTCACAAGGCCTAACAGTGAGCACAGGAACATTTGCATCCCATCAACAGAAGGCCTCCAAGCAGAGCAAATGTAGAGGACACCATTATCCAGGCCCTCTCTGCTTCTTTCAGGTAAGATAAGCCTCTGGGAACATCCTAGCTCTCAGGACCATAGTCCATACAAATGACTCAGAAGATAGCTGCTGTTTTAAATAAAAAATTCAAAAATCCATCTTGGATCTAGATGAAGAGTTACTAATTTTGTCTGTGATTGCAGTATGGGTTGTATTTGGATTTTGATTGAAACAAGATTTTTTTGAAGGGATTAAGAAAATTTAACACTTGAACACTAATATTTACACAGCAGAATAAAAAGAACTCGACACTACGAACGGAGAAAACATACAAGAAACGAGAAAACACAAGAAACGGGAGGAAAACAAGGAGCATTATATCACAAAAACAATGGGAAATAGCCATGTTTGTCTACTTCCTGGCACCTAGCACAATGCCTGGCATGGAGTAGATGCCTATAATTGCCTTAAATTGATCGGTTTAAATAAAAGAAACATTTTAATTAATAGAATTGTTAGAAGTTTTTCAAAAATGTTGAATGCTGTAGAAAGGCCAAGTAGAGTTAGAACTAAAATTAATCTCTGGTGAACTTGGCAGCAATAATTTGAATCCCATGAGGTGGGAATCAATAAAAAGAGCTAAATGGGGGAGGGGTAACCAAACGATGACAGCTAACGCAGCTTTCTAAGATAGTGAGGGGCTGGAGGGAGAATGTGGGGAACACTTTTATAAAGGGAAATGAACATATTTTAATTTATAAATGGAACAGACAAATAGAAAAAAATACTAAAAAATATAGAAAGGAAAATGACCTGAGGATTACAGTCCCAAAAAAGGGCAGGGTTATTATCTCCCAATAGGATGAAAGAGATTTCTTCCGCTGATAAGAAAGAGGAGGAGAGGAGAAGACACTGAGTTTGAAGACAAGGGCAATGAAACTCAGCTTGCTGGCAATAGCTTCATTTTCTGTATTTTTTTTTTTTTTGGTTTTTTTTTTTTTTGGTACAGGGGATCGAACTCAGGACCTTGTGCTTGCCAGGCAGGCAGCAGCACCACTAAGCTACATCCCCGGCTTCATTTTCTGTGTGAAGGTGCTTTCACCTGTTAAGAGTGAAAGAAAAAGTAGTAAAGAGAGGGATTAAGAAGAAAAAGGCGATTGAATAAATGAGATGACTTAGCAAGAGAAAGAGAATAAATGTTAGCAAGCAAAACGGCGCTGGGTTTGTTCTAGCAGCATTGATATCTGTGGTTCTTCAGAAACAGTACAGTGGACCCTAAATTAGGACCAACCTGACAAAAAAAACTTAGGTTAATTAGGATAATGGAAGATTCATCTGCCTCTTGTTATCTATAGCATGTACCCCGGTAGACGTCCAGATCTCAGCTGTACTGACTTACAACCAACCTGAGTTACAACCAGCCCTCAGGAACCGATCGAGTTTGTAAATCAAGGGTCCACTGTATTTCTGAAGCAAACTCCCGGACTTAGAAGACAAGAGTCATGACAGGAAAGAGAATGAAAGGTGAGTGAGGATCTCAGCTCCATAGAGAAGGAAATTAAGACTAGGAACCAGGAAAAGGGAACTAAGAACCAAAAGGCCCTACTGTCCCAGTCATGTCGGAGTGAAGTAGGAAGGAAACAGTGATCTAGAGAAAAGGTGGAGACAAATGAGGTATGGTAAATTTAAAAATGTTCAGACTTAAAGTTCATTGAGAAGTAGAAACAGAATATTCAGGAAAATTTTGAAAACAGTATTGAGAAGACATGCCCTAGAAATAGTAAACAATCAGAAGTTTCTATTACTAACTGGAACAGCATAGTGTTGTTCCATAAACAGATTAATGGAAACAGAGCTGAAAAATACATCCAAGTAGATATGGGAATCGAATAGCTAATAAGAGTTCCAATCAATGAGGAAAGCAAATTATTTAACAAATGAGGTTAGAAACATAAAAATATATCCACACCTCTCCCTTTATATCAATATAAATTTCCAAAGAATACAATATCCAATGCAAAACCATATTCATTATATGTAATTAAAGGATGTAATGAAGATTTCATAGTTGGAGCAGTTTCGGGTGAAGAAAAGATTTAGTGTGGTGTAAGAAGCTGAAAGGAAGCAAAGACAAAGATCACTGGGATGGAGGAGAATCGCTCAGCCCAGGCTTACTGTGTGAAGGGGCTACAAAGTCCCTAAGAGGCTGTGACTGTAACAAAGGCACCCCCATCAAAATATCCTGATTCCAGCTTTTGAAATGCACCATGTTTCTGAAACTTGGAAATCTCAAATCCAAAACATGGAGTCTTAGCCAGGTCCAAGGTGGATCATCCGTGCTCTCTGACAGCTCCACACACACTTCAGAATTTGAAACACAACACCATCAGAGATTCCCTTCTAGACCTACATGCTGAAGCCCTCCCATCTTCTTAGTCGTCAACTTAAAATTTTATTAAATCTGAATTGCACTCATCTGATCAAAGTCCTTAGTTTGCGGACTTCTACTTACAAAGTTGTCTGTGAAGGTACTGTTCTCTCATATATTCAGGTTGGCACCCTTAGCATTTCAATGCTAATTCTCTTGATACCAAGAACTGATGTCGGTGATAAGAATACACTTCCAGTTCTTATCAATTTGGTTCCCATGTGTTGATCTGTTATCCACCACACACGTGACTCCTTCTTAGATAACCCTTAAGGCAAGTAACTGTTCCCCTCCCCAAACTTCCCGTTACCTCTTCTAGCTCTTCTTCATCCTCGTAGTCTTCCTGTTGTGCATCATCGTTGTCATCCTCGTTGTCATCACCTTCTTTTCTTTTCTCTTTGCTTCCTTCTTTCTCTTCGTATTCCTCATCAGATTTTTCACCATCACCTCTCTTTTCCAATTCCTGGTATGAGTGAGTTTCATTAACTTACAGGGAAACCACTAGACTCTGACACCCTGAGCAGCGGGAAGAGAACACAGCTCCTGATCACCTCACTCTAACCCACCCCAGGGGTCCAAGTTGGAGTTAACTCTGGAAAGGAAGCGCGAGTGTCCGATGACCACACTAGGACTTCTTCCATTGTGTTACTTCATAACTGGGTCTCAGCTGATGCCGGCTTATCAGCTCTAATGTGTAATGCTTCATTTTTATGACGCCTATCCCATCTCCTCCTAAATATTTGACATATTATTTATAGAGAAGAACTTTCAGAATATTATTTTATTTTTCTTCTAACATGTAATGGTAATATTTCAAAATGTCTGTGTTCTAGGTTTTTTTTTTTTTTTTTGGTACTGGGGATTGAAGCTGTGTTCTAGTTTTATAGGTGAAATAGTTGAAAACTATCAAGGCATCCTAGCTGCAGGTCACCCTTAGGGATAAATTACCCTAGCACAGATTCTCCCTGTGTGTTTTTCTTTTGCCCCTCATTGTCTACTTTCCACTCCTAGGAACTTTTGCTTCTTAGTATATCTAGAAGGTTGGGCAGAAAGAAATCACAGTCAACTCTAGCAATTATTAGCAACTCTAAGACAAGAGGTAAAGGAGAAAAACAGGATTAGAAGAGCTTTCATTATCTCCTGGCTCTACTTACCTACTCTGTAGTCATTACTAGCACACAAGTTTACCTTTAAAACTGCATCTTTATATTTCTATAAGAAATGTCAATGAGTTTTTTACTTGCTATGAAGTGACCAGTTTTCATTACTGTCACTATCTGTTCACCAACTTGTACAATGTTCAATTTGTATATACAAATGATATGCTTTCTCAAGTTTTTTACAAGGTGGGCATAACAATAATTTCACATACTAATATTCATATTTAAGTCTTTACTTTAGCTATTTTCTTATTATTTTTAAACAGTAATTAGAGTACCTGCTCATGAATCTACAAATGTTCCATCTCTACTATAAGATATGTGCTTTATAGATTACATAGGAAGAGAAATAAATTTCATATCTGGAGTGACTATAACTTAGATATTCATTTACTGGTTCTTAAATGTTCATTTTGAAAGACTTAATTACATCCAAATTTGAATTTAAGGAAATCAAAGGCAATGAAAAGACTACATCAGACACTAACTCAACTTCTGCTCAAACGTGAAGCCCCTCTCTTCCTGTCTGCTCACACGATTCAGGCAGACAAAGATGAAGGAAGATGATTCATCTCAGTATCAACCCTGATGTTGTCTTCTGAGTTATTTATTTATTTATTTATTTTGGTACTGGGGCTCGAACTCAGGTCCTTGCGCTTGCACAGCAGGTGGCGAAACCACTGAGCTAAATCCCCAGCCCTGTCTTATGAGTTATTACTGTAATGAGTGCAATCTTCCCAACTGGCAATCTCCTCGGGAAGTTGCAAGTAAGCAGAATATGTTTACAGATCTTTCAAAACATCTATAAGATACGCACACATGTATAATGCTATGTTAATATTAATTCATATACGGTATTGTTTTCCATTTTAATCAGATCATAAGTAAAAAGGCCTATATCCACAAGTTTACATAGTTAAGGTGAACTGTATCACTGTATTTAACTTTGTGCAAGGTCTACACTGTATGTGAAAAAAATCATGTTATTATTATTTCACTGTTAGCATATTATTTCATACTTAAGTCAGTTATGTAAAAATTTTAAAATACAGAATTCAGTGTGAATAGGGACTACTACACTTACATTTCTAATGTTGTCACCTCAAACGTATTTAAACTAATAACCTCATCTTTATTTCTACAACTAAGATCCTAATCAAAACCATAAGATACTTAAATAAGTTAAGAGAAGATTTATGCAATTTTCTTAAAAGAGATGATCTTAAGAAAGACATTTTGTCTCATCACTTCATTCCTTTTGCATTAAGCTAGTTTCACCTTTTTCTATTTAGTAGTTTCCATTTTCTCTTCAAGAGATTTCACTACCTAAGCTTATTACTTTACAGATTGTATGCTAAGTAGAAATAAGAAGCTCATTTGTTTCCTACTGCCTGATTACTTGTGTGATCTGGATGTATGTTGCTATCTCTTCATCCATAGAGATGCTGTATTGTAATAAAACTTGAATAAACTTCTTGTGCTATAGAAATGAACTTTAATAAGCTTCTTTTGCTTTAGAAGTGGACAATCAGTCATTCACAAACAACTTTTGCTCTATTAAAACTGCCTACATGCCCAGATTTTAAAACCCACTTTTAACAGTGTCCTGGAAGGGTGTGAAATGGAAGAAATGAAGAAATACAATTTGTTGAGAAGAAGCCACACCCGAAGATGCGGAGTCATCTTCCTTACAGCACCTTGCAGTCATCTTATCAACTTTCTGCAGGAGGCTTTCAGGGCAGCCAGAACGTGCCTGTGAGTAGAAGCTGGCTAGTCCTGCTACCCATCTGTCATCCCACCACTGTCAAGAGTGACGATTATTGCTGTTCCTTCAGCAACCTTCTGCCTTTATTTTCAAGACATGCTATCTCCGGTTCACGTAGTGGTCAAAAAAGAAAAGAGCAAAAGTAAGAGTTTTTGTCACCAAGTGGCTGTGCCATGCTGGCCTAGCAAGTATTTTAAACCTGTGATTGCATCCTCTGTATGAAAGGAATAATAAAACCTGTGTCTCTCTCTGTGGCTACAAACTCCTAAGGACCTGGTGTACGATAAGAGCTCATCAAAGAGCCTGGTGCAGGGCTCTCAGTCAGCATTAACTGCTATCGTCATCATCATCAATGCAAGGGAGCGCATGCGCCAAAGCAGGGTAAGGCAGCATAAACCCCATAGGAAGCAATGTGATGATACTGATTCCTCTCGTACAGTGCACAAAACGGACCCAACAAGCCCATTTCTCCTTGTGCGAAATGACACTTAACGTGAATTCATGGAAGCATCATTTACAACAGCGAAACAGAAGAGATATAATGCCCACGAATGGCTCACTAAATAAATAAATTATGGTTCATTCTTACAGTTGCCTTGTTCTCTTTTCTTGGCTGCAACTGTAACAGTCTGATATGAAATTACCTCTGAGATAGTTTGGTAAGTGATAAAGTGAAAATGAAGAGTGTGATCTGCTGCCTGCTCCTTTTATCATCAAAAAGGAAAAATTCTGCATTTCTTATACATAGAATTTTCTGAAAGGATATGTAAGAAGTGGTAACATTGGTAGCCTACAAAGGGGAATAAATGGCTGGGTTAGGAATGGGGGGAGTCCAGTGTATTAACTTTCTGAATTTTATATGTTTCTTTTTGAAATATTTTTAAAAAGATGAAAATAGTTTCATAAGATAATAGTTTTCCCTCAATAGAGTTTTCCATACATATCATAAGACAGAGAACCACCCCAAATTTTTTTAAAGTATGTATACACCAACAGGGAGAATAATGAGATTTTTAGAAACACTATATTTTCGGTTCAAAGACTAAAGAAGAAGGCAAAAGAAATACAAAGTTTTATACTTTTCCAGTTCACTTTTATACTAAGAGGAAAGCCTTACCTCAATTTTTTTCAGCACATCTGCAGTATCAATGAGTGAAGAGACTTTGTCTGTACCTTTTGCGTTTTTGGATTTTAGGTCTGCTGAAATAAAACCACCAGTTAACATATTTTTCTTATAACGGCAGCAGTGATTATGTTTCTATGCCTTTTCATATGCTGCCTAGCACAGTAGTGTATTATACTAGGCAATCACATAATTTTCAGAATGAATTAATTTTCCTAAATAATAAACAAAGTAAATAAAATGAAACACCTCGCCAGTTTCCAATGAGCAAATGACAACTGGTTCAAAAAGTATTTTTTGTGACTGCAGGCAAATATATTTTTAGTAAGTACTGCAAATTTGTGCTGGCAATTGATCTCATTAGGGACAAAATTGCTAATGTGTTAACACATGCAGAGCTACTAGACGAATGCAGTGGTAAAGGCTCCCATAAATCTATATGCATGGGCTTCCTGTTCACTCATTTTCATCAAAAAATGTTTATGAGATTTGGAAAATAAAAAAGTAGTGCAGGAAAAACATGAACTTGCTAATAGTAAAAAAGATGAAAAAAGAGGTTATATTTACTGCAACAAAGAACTATCTTTGAAGATGAAAAATAGTTAAGCTAAGCATATCCATCATATGAATCTCAAAACTCAAGGCAATACAAATGAAATAAAATGTTTTAATGCCTTTGGAATATATAATCTTTTCATTCATATCAAAAATATTACATTTTAAGGCTACTCTGAAACTGAGGGAAGTCATTTCACATATGGATTCTGCCAGTCAGTTACCAAAACATTATGATATGCTACAAAGCTGTCCCATCATGATCAGGAAGTATTATAGCTCTTTTCCAAAATCAAACTAAATACCTAAAAATTACTTCATAACAGAGGAAAATATGGCCCACAAAGATGTAATTTTGTTAAAGATTAACATTTAACCTATCGAAGAGGCAATGTTTAGATTGTGGTGACGACCCCTAACTGATGGAATTATATTCTACGGTGCTACCAACTGCCCCTGGAGGAGCCCTTGGCTCGGAGCTTCTAACCATGTATTAGACAGGTCTGCTCACACAGAATAAGAGGTGGCGAGATGAGTAACTCCCTTTGCCCTCTGTGAGGGCAAAGACTGCTTCATATGAGCACAAAAAATACAGCAACACATCGAGCCAAGATCTCAGGAATATCGTAATGTTGACACCCCAAGCTATTAGCTAAGAATGTAATTCATTCACATGATGAAGTCTTTTTTCCTAAGGACTTTTTATCAAATTCTTTAGTTTCATAATATGTAAGCCTGCTAAGTAGATACTATACACAATGGTCAGGAAATATACTTATAAAAATTACTAATTTCTAAACAGAAGGTCAGATGAAGATACAAGTCTGCTCAGCATTCTCTGCTACTCATTATTTAGATTTTATTCAACACCTAATCTCTGTATGTATAATGGAGGGACAAGTGTCAAATTACCAAAACTGCTAAAAGACTGTATTAACCCCAAAATATGAACATGAACTTTTTTCTACCTTTAGCCAAATATATGCATATACTTGCATTTTTTGGTGTTTTTTTTTTTGGTACCGGGGATTGAACTCGGGTCCTTGAGCTTGTGCAGCAGGTGGCGAAACCACTGAGCTAAATCCCCGGCCCTAAATTTTTTGGTTTCTTTTAACGCCTATCAGTAGCTGACTGGAGAAACTGTCTTTTTCTTGCTTTAATACAAGGAAAGTATTAGAACAGAATGGGGGAAAGTTTGCTGCTGTTGCTTTTTTGGACTTTTACTAGCACACAATGAGCGTGTTTGTCATGGGAGCTGGTACATGGACAGAACACATCTGGACTCTTTTTAAGTCCCCTTCCCCTCCCCCCATCTCTTGGGTTACTGTTTCTTTTCTCTTTGTTTTTTTTGTTTTTGTTTTTTGGTACCAGGGATCGAACTCCGGTCCTTGGGCTTGGGAGGCAGGTAGCGGAACCACTGAGCTAAATCCCCAGCCCGGCCCGGGTTACTGTTTCTTAACAAATGGAAATTCTGGCACACTGAAAGGCCCCATTTCCATTTCAGTCTGGATGCCACCCCTGCAGATCTTTTAAAAAGCTCCTCCTAAGGGCGCTGGTGTCCTATGTAAGAACATAACATCCCCGCTCTTCCTCCTTGACCACCGGGCAAGGCTGCGATCTTGTTAGCCTCACTGAGGCCCTCTGCACACTCTCCAGGCTATGCCTCCGCCCTCCTTCTCACTGGGTACTTCTTCCTTTCTGGGCTGATTCCACCTCCTTTCCAGTCTCCCTCCGAGCTCTGGGCCCCTCTCCCTCTACTTCTCTAACCTCATCCTAGATGGTTTCAGGCCTCCCCACAGCCTCAGGGACCCCGTCTCTGCTGACGGTGAACACCTCCATTCTCAGGTCCATGCACCTGCATCCAACAACGGCCACGTCCCCATGTGTGTGTCTCGAAGGCAAAGGACCCCCGGGAGCCAGGGCATCAGGTTTTCCTTCCCAATCTGGCCTCTGTCCCGTGTCCCTCCTTCCACCTCACCATAGTAACCTCTCTACCCATCCTTCCACCTTGACTCCAAATCTGTTTCCTCAGAGAACCCTTGCCGTGCCACCCTGTGAGGAGCAAGGACAGTGCCATGCCATCCACTGCTCTGTTCCTCTCGGCAGGGTCTGGCAACAGGAGGTGCTCAGCTATCTACTGTCTGGAATCACCGGCGAAAACCAAAACATAAACATTCGCTTTGCTATTTCTATATACAATATAAAGATCTATTTTATCAGTTCTCTGATTTTAAAATGTTTTACTTAATAACGTAGAATGCATCCAGTATCATAGACTTTTTCAGATAAGCAGATGAAAAGGTCTATATTACTGCACAGTCTTTCTGGCACATTAAGTCTCTGCAGTTAAAGAAAAGACGACTCAACAAACAACCTCAAAAATACAAAAAAAAAAAGGCACTGAACTTCAGCAAAATAATAAAAATGTCAGATTTCAAGAAAAAAAATCGGTATAACTTCAAGTTGATAATTTACATGAACAGAATTTAAGCTGGGTGTAATGGTCCACATGTGTAATCCTAGCTAATCGGGAGGCTAAAGCAGGAGGATCATAAATTCAAGGGTACCTGGGCATCTTCGTGAGATACTGTCTCGGAATGAATCTTTAAAAAGGCTGGACATGGAGCTGAGTGACAGCGTTGGCACAGCGGGTGTGAGGCCCTGGGTGCGATCCCCACCCCCAGCCCCATGAGTTTCAGCAATGATGCTAGTCAATGTACCTTTCCTGCATTTTTTCCGAGGCATCATCTCTCTTGGGAGTCTTCTCCAATCTACGTGTACAGAAGAAGAAATGTAAAACTTAGTTTCCTTTAGCAATGAGTGGCACTTGATATAACTATTTAAAGAACATAAAAAGAACATGATGACAGTTGCCCATGCAATGATATAATATTTCTTAGTACCTGACTATAAGGATTTAGGCTGAAATAAAAATAAATATAAATATAACAGGCAGTGGTATATTTTCTCCAATAAAGAAAAGAAGTTCATCAAAACTGCCTTGAAAAGTGCAGTGAAATTTTCTGGGATACAATCTTAGGCTAATTACTGTGAATTTTAGGGTTACAACTGTTGTTAAATATTATTTAATTACTTTGTTATTTGACTACTTTGTAAGTTTTCTGTAGTTGATATACACTTCTTACGTAACAGCAATTTTTTTCAAAAGTTAAAAGCATGTGACTACAATCCAAACACATCTGAAATGAAATAAAAACATAATAATTATCTAAAAACCTCAAAAATTAAATGATTTTTGCCTGCATTAACTAAAATCGATTCCTCTCATTTTTCACTCTAATTTTTTTTAGGTGGGTGGGGGTTCCTGGGGATCAAACCCACGGCCTCACCCATGTAAGGCAGGCATTCAACCACTGAGGGATGCAGTGTGAAAAACACAGTGTTATTTCTCAATGTATTACACAGCAAGACACACTGTCATTAACAGCCCCTCTCCTTCCTGCAAACACGCTCAGACCCGCATTCTTGCCACTTCTGAAGCAGCTCTGAAGTCCTCTTTTGCAAGTGTGTCTAGTTGCCCTGTTGTAGCTGCTCCGATATCCTGAATGGATAAAGAAACTCTTACCTTTCATGGTCATTTTGTCATTGGGGAAGAGCCAGAAAGACCCTGTGCCAGAGCCAGTGATTAAGACGGATGAGGACACGTCGCATGTTTGTGCAAGCCTGCCCTTCTTCGGCTGGCACTTGGCAGCCACAATCACCGTGTTTTCCAAACCCACCTTATGAAGATATGAAAGAGGACTTTTGGAACTGCTTTAGAAAGTGGCAAGAATGATGGGATGAGCGTGTTTGAAACTAGGGGGAGTATTTTGAAGGGGATTCACGGCAATTATGGTAATCAATTACTTAGGTAAACATTCACCATATATTCTCATCACATCTCATACATTCCCAGCCCCTACTTTTAAGCATAGAGAAAACAGAAAATTGAATCAATATAACATAGATTTTTAATAAAGAAATTTCAGTACATTTGTGGAAAACAGTTAAATCTAAGTCATTTTAGCTGAGCAAATAAATTTTGCTTTGAATATAGTTAACTTTATAAATTACTATAGATCATAAATTTGTAAAGAGACTCATTTGGGAGGTGACTATTAATGGAGTAGAACAGAATGTGAAGGATCTAGGAGTGTTTCCAGGGGCCCCAATGTTATCAACGATCACCAGAGACGACAGAGCGCTATAAGCTGTGGAAATGTTGCTGCTGCTCGTGCCACTGGTGTTTCCAAGAGGGCAGTTTCTATAAGCCCCTGAGGACAGAGACACAAGAGAAAGGACTCTGAAGGAGGTGACCCAAGTTCTAGCAGTATTGGCAGGGACCCTCACAGGTTGCTTCAGTTCTATGGCAGCTCTTTTCTATCTGCAAAGTGGATGGGGGCAGATGAGGTCACCTCCACAGGTCCTGCTGCCCTCTCAGAATGTTTGGATGCTGAAAACAAAACCTTCTACTGAAAAGGCGTGTTAGCAACTAAAAGTAGTCCATGTCTGCCTGACAGAAAGGAAGTCTACAAGCTTTGCTTAAAATATCCTTCCAACTAGATTTCTGCTTTTTCAAAAGCTTCCAGATTGCTCAGAAGCAATGAAGTAACTGCTCGTTGGTATCAGAAATTAGATTGTGATTGTGGCTAATGAAATCAGAAAGTCAAAAGCCGTGGCAAGCCCTAGTTTTATAAAACTTGTACTTAAGAACTTCCACAAACACATTCTTCATTATAAAAGTCTTTTTGGGCCGGGGATTTAGCTCGGTGGCATCACACCTGCCTTGCAAGTCCAAGGTCCTGAGTTTGATCCCTGGTACCACAAAAAGAAAAACAAAATCTTTTATTCTCAGTTTTCAAAAGATTTACATTATCTATTAGGAAAAGTACCACACATTTTTCGTACAGTGAGAACAGAAAACTTATCCCACAAAAATATGGGGTAGGGAGACAGTCTCTCAAAAGTATTTAACACTATCTGTTTTGTCATACCTGGTATCCATTCTTCTTTGTATGTCTGCATGTATTTTTTACTATACCTTTCAATATCTAGGGGGGAAAAACAACAAAATACATTAGAAACATCAAGAATAAACCAGAATTTAAGGCACTCCTAAATAACTTGGAACAGCAGGTAACATCTCTCATTTGACATACAGGTTAGATGACGACCTTCACTGCAGCTCTTAGAATGTGCCAATCTGCCTTACTGGGGACCCACAGACACCCCGCTCACATGTGAGGAGCGGGGAGTCCTGCTCAGCACTCTGGGTTTTATTTGTGACAGTGACCGCCAGCCCTCATCTAACCTGGTCTCACGGGGTGCACTAAGTACCTGGGGCAGTGGAGGGCTCGAGAGCCCCTCCAGCACTGGATTCCAGGATATCCTTTTGTTAGGCTCCTCCACGAGCAACTTCCAAACCCACTGGGGAGGAGAATGGGAAAGGCTGGGTCTGCTGAGCGGCTGTCTGGGACATAAATGAGCAAGCTGCAGCCTTTCACGAGCCACTGAAAACTGCACAGAGCCTGGGTTGCTTGTGGGTCCGGGCTTCAGATCGGCCCTATTCTCTAGCTGAGCCCCGAGCCTCCCACGCAGCAGCCGTTGCCAAGCAACCCTGTCACACAAGAGCCCCCAAACACTGCCAGCCCTAGAGAGCGGTTTAGAAACAGCATCGAAAAGGACTGAGTTTCCATGTCAAGAAAATGCTTCTAAATAATATAACTATGTGTCAGAGAAAAGTGACTACAACAAATGGACCGGAGACCAAGAGACAGGCTTTTCTGGGTATTTACTGGAGTTTAGGTTAAATGTTTAATTTTGCCACCAAATTTCTTATTTTTTTTAAAAAAATGCCCTACATAAATGAATTAAAATTATTTTTTTAGAATTTCCTCCAAAACAGATTCTGTATTTTGAATAATTTTAACCCTCAGCACACCAGGAAAACCTTTTTACCATTTATCATCTGGGCCCAATGGACCATTTAAAAAATATTTTTCAGTATTTTAAGTTACTTTCAAATAATTTACAGAATAAAAATACACTGAAAACCAATTCTTGGAAACCAATTAAAAAGGGGAAAAGACATTTCTCCAAAAGCACATGATAAGATGCTCAATATCAATGGCACTAGGGAAAATTCAAGTCAAAATCCCAAGGATACTGCTTTATACCTACTAGGAAAGCTAGAGTCAAACAGGCAGTAACAAGTGTTTACAAGTGTGTGAAGAAATTAATTGCTGATGGGAATGTAAAATGGTTCAGCCACTTAAAACACCGTTTAGCATTTCCTTAAAATGTTAGCATATGATAGAGCTAAGATATGATTCTCAATATATGCCCAATAGAAATAAAAACATATGTCTACACAAAACATGTACACGAATGTTAAGAGCAACGTTATTCAGACCACTCCAAAAAAGAACCGACCCAAGGATCCACCAAATGAGAGGTAGATAAGTAAAATGTGGTATATCTATACCAGGGGTTAGTATACACACATATATATTTTTATATACATAAAAAGGAATGAAGCAATGATACATCCTATACCATGGTGAACCTTGAAAACATTATGCCAAATGAAAACCATCACAAAAAGATACATTACCTGTAATTCCAATTACTTATACTTTCATCATCAAAATGCAATAATTTAAAAAATACTCTGATGGGACCTGGGATGTAGCTCAGTGGCACAGCACATGACTAACATGCTTAAAAGGCCCCGAGTTCAACTCTCAGTACCACAAAAATAGTAATATAAATAAATAAAATTTGAAAACATTGATGGTTCACACCTTGGTTGAAGAGAAGATGGCCCAGCCACCTTCTTTGCTCTATACTTGCAAAATAATTTCATTGTTAAATGTATAACCACCAATAAACTCTTTCATTTTCATATGTTCAACTTCCTTCCAATCATTTCTCTATGTGTTTTTGCTTTCAGCACTTGTCCAGTTACAAACCACACAGGATAAATTCTGTTGCACAAAAAATCATAAAAGAAAAAAATACAGTCACGTCACTTTAGCAAAAGGGTTCTCATTACAAAATCTTACGTGATGAAATCCTTTTCAAAGATCAACTGTAAGAGAACACCAAATTTTCATTCTGAGAGATACTCTGTCTACTCACTGATTCTTGAATTTCAGAAAATCCATCTAAGATACTTTCATATGAAGATTCATCAAGTCTGAGATTTTGCTATAATCTGTTCCCCTCAGTCTTAGCCTAGAGAGCCGCTATCCACCTCGTTGCATTCATCTTACTTGTCTAAGAAACATCTTCCTATGTAAATTCTTTTCTCTCTGCCATTATGGAAAGAAAATAAAAAATTCTGAATTCTCATTTAGCCTAAATAAGACAAAACAACTACAAAGATGAGGATTTCTTTTCTATGTTCTTAAAAATTGATATAGCTGGGCACAATGGCACACTCCTATAATCCCAATATTTTGGGAGTCTGAGGCAGAAGGATGTCAAACTCAAGCCCAGCCTGGGCGATTTAGTGATACACCAAAAAGACCTTGTCGCAAAAATAAATTAAAAAATGGGCTGGGGTTGTAGGCCAGTGTAAACGCCCGGGGTTCAATTCCTGGGTTGAAAAGAAGGGAACAAAACAAAACAAAACTGATGTAGTATTTTAGAGAATACTAAAACTAAAGTATGATGAAATCATTATGATTTATTTCAATATTTCACTGTCCTAAGAATTTTTTTTTTAATTTTAGTCATTTTTCTTCATCACAATGGGAAATACTTGATAAAAATGATGAAATTATTACCATCATGAAATAGTGTCAAGATATAGTAAAAGATCACTCAAATTTCACAATGTACTTTAAATTTATAAAAGGACCCTATATACTAATGTACAGATAAAATGCATTTTCTCTTAAGTAAATATTTTTTCTGCTTTGGAAAACTTCTATGAACAAGTTATGCATATCAATCTTTACAATCAGTAGGAGCTCATTAATAAGAAACCAAAAATTAAAGCTGCTTTTCATGGACTTGTGATAGTGTAGCAAGAATAAATAAAACAAATTCTCCTTGAATGGAATGTCAGACTTTGTGGCTGTATCACTTCCTTGAAGCTTCTGAAGTTCTGAACCATTAACACTACATTGGGAAAGAAGAAAATGTGAAGATTTCAAGAAAATTCACTGGTATCAATTTGGAAAATTCTATACAAATTTCTCCTAAAAGAAATAAAAGCAAAAGACCCTGTATATTTTTATTTTATTGCATACTACTGATGATAAAGTGCCCTTTTGATGTAGGTACAAGCCAACTACTCCCACAGACCAATCACATTATGTTCTTAATGACTCTGTCCAAAAGACTCACAGAAATGCTTGAATGATTTGATACACTTTTAAGTTAGACATGCACTTTAATAATCACATTCAGTTAAGTAAATCAGTCCCATAATCTAGAGAAAAGAGTAATTTTAAAAGACTAAAATATATCCTGTACTATTTTTTTACTAATAAGTATTTATTAGTTTATTTGATTTTACTTTTTAAATCTATAAAAGGAGAGCTTTAATTTCATTTTTAAACCCAGACAAAAGCATGTAGCATAACCATGAAAATAAAATAATTCACTATTTCTGAGGTTAAAAAAACAATTCTTATCAAATTGTTATATAACTTCAAGCAGCTATGCTTTGAAAAATGAACCTGTCTAACATGCTTCTCACAAACACATGTAAGATCATTTTATAAGATTTCTTTTTTGATTCTTAGCCAATTCTAAGTCTTTCAGAGAGAGGAAAAATGGTATGCACTTTTAACACTAATGCAATAAGATGAGTTGTTTTTGAGAATGTGCAGATGATATTGATCTTTCTAATTTGAACAATCAGGGGCAGAAACTGAAAATCAATACAGCTCTGCTGCGCACATAACCACTTGAGTGGTTCACTTCCTCCAAACCACTTCCCGCTTCCAGTCTTAAACCGCTGCGCCTTCTTGTCATTTCTCCTCCCTGCCCTTACATTCAGAAATGAATACCCATTTTATATTTTCTACCATCAGATATATAAAAAATAAGACAAACATCAATTTTTTTACATTTTTACCTTAAATATTAAATAATTGGAAGTATGCATAAAAACTTACATAAACAACAGTAATCTCGGCATCAAATAAATAAGCAAAAAACTAGAAAGAACCTTCAATCTAGTTAAGAATCAGCTACAGATAATGTTATATCCATCCAATGAAATAATGGTCATTGAAACTTGTATTTTCCAAAAATAGTAAGGACATGTATAAGGGCTAATCTGTTTAGTAAAGAAGATATAAAATGAGTCAAATTTAAAAAAAAGAAACACTCAATGGGATGGGGATTTAGCTCAATGGTTCCAGTGCCTGCCTCGCAAGCGTAAGGTCCCGAGTTCGATCCCCAGTTCCAAAAAAAAAAACAAAAACAGAAAGAAACATTCAAAAAATTTAAAATACACAGTAAAATATTATTAGTTGTTCTCTGGACACCTGTGCGGGTAACTTTTACCTAAAAAATTCTTTTGGTTTTCATAGAACATGTACAGTTTCTACTGTGAAACATGTGTTTAAAATATCAAAAACTTTATTTTTCTGTTAAATCAACCATAAATGTTTTTTGCACGTTGACTTAGAATCTGATCAAATCGCCAACACCAAATGATCACATATTTTATGATTAAACACTGTATCATCCACATACACTAACCCACAGCACTAAACAGCCTGTTACACACCTGGCTTTTCTTCAGGTTTTTCAATAAAATAAGGCTTTCTTTTCATTGTTTCTCTCAATTCCTGCTTCAAGGCCAGCATGTAATCTTCACTTTCTCCTGTTTTCAGTGGCACTGGCTTATAATCTGTATCCTACTTAAAAGACAAATTTTAAAAAATAAATTTAACATTTTAACATCTCCTTTCTCTATATTCTAGAAAATATGAGTTTTATCAGAAAATTGTTTTATAGGCACTAAGTTTTACAATTACCCTAAAAGGGAACCTCTGAAATCTAATCATTGAGCCCATTTCCTAGGTTGTTCTTATTTTAGAGGTAGGAAAGATGCATAATTTTCCTATTGACACAAAAAAACCTATGCTGATAATCATTTTGTTGTATTGTCTGTTGACTAACGTGATCCACATTTTAAAAATCAAGATACCCAAATGATGGCAGCCACTTTAGTGTCTGTTAACTTCAACTAGGTTACTGGTGGAAGCAGTAGGACAAAAATAAAATAATAGCATTTATCATTTAGCAAGTGGTCACTATAACCAAGATTGTCTTAATACAGTATTCAACATCTAGTATCTCATTTAAAGTGTTAGCAATATTTCCAAAAACAAAACAAAACAGTGAAGACATGGAGAAATGAAAAGTTTGTAATGAGTAAACGGCAAAACAGGAGATTGAAGTTTCATTTTATTTTTTTTTTTTTTCTTAAATTCTTTTATTGATACACTTTAGGTATACAGTATGTTTACATTTATCATTGGGTGCTTGTACCTGTGTATATGATGTATCTTGGTTATTCTGTCTCCATTATCTGTGCGCCCTTCACCCCTCCACCCTTATGTATTTATGTAGACTTCATTTCTATTTTTTTTCTTTTCTCATAATTTTTCCTTTCCCTTCTTTCCTTTCCCCTTCCCCTCCCACCACCCCTACCCCTTTGGACCTTTTCTTCCTAGTTCAAATTATCAATTATTCATTTTCAATATTTTAACTTTTGTTTACACTTTCAGTTTCTTACAACAGAGAAACTATTCAGTATTTACACAGGTGTGTCCTATTTATTTCACTTAAGAGTATGGCCTAAATATGCATCCATTTAGCTATAAATGACTCTAGTTTCTCGTTCTTTATGGCTGAGCAGTACTCCATTTTATAAAAAAACCACATCTTCTTTATCCAGTTTCCAGTTGATGGGCACTTAGGCTGTTTCCAAGCTTTAGCTATTACAAACTGTGCCAC